ACCCGGCATTAATGTGAACACAAATACTGTCAGTGGGAGCTTCATGAAATGAGTTCCATGGCTGAGCAGCTGCATGCAAGCCTTACATCACCAAGTCCAATGCCAAGCGTTGAATGGAGTGGTGTAAAGAGCATCGTCACTGACTGTGGAGCAGTGGAATTGGGTTCTGTTGAGTGGCGGATCAACGTTTCTCTGTTTGGCAGTCAAATGGTCGAGTGTGGGTTTGGCTGATGCCGGGAGAATGTTACCTGCCCCTGACTGCATTGTGCCAACTGTGAAGTTTGGTGGAGAAGGGAATAATAGTATGGGCTGTTTTTCAGGTTTGGGCTAGGCCCCTTATCTCCAGTGAAGGGCTATGTTAATGCTTCAGCATACCAAGACATTTTGGACATGCTATGCTTCCAACTTTGTGGCAACAGTTTGGGTAAGGCCCTTTCTGTTCCAACATGACTGTGCCCAGCGCACAAAGCAAGGTCCATTAAGACATGGTTTGATGAGTTCGGTGTGAAAGAACTTGACTGGCCCGCACAGAGCCCCGCGACCGTAACCCCATAAGAGCACCTTTGGGATGAAGTGGAACGGAGATTGCGAGCTAGCCTTCTTGTCCAACATCAGTGCCTGACTCCATAAATGCTCTACAGAATGAATGGGCAACAAATTCCCACAGAAACACTCAAAAATCTTGTGGAAAGCATTCCAAGAAGAGTGGAAGCTGTTATGGCTGCAAAAGGGGGACCAACTCCATATTAAAGTATATGTATTTAAATATAATGTCATTACAGTCCCTGTTGGTATAATGGTCAGTTGGCCGAATACTTTTGTCAATATAGTGTATATAGAAATAGTCTGCTGGGAACAATAATATGTAAAAAGCATCTAATCCTTCTACCTCCACATCTCCTACGTCACTGTCCATTCAGTGTATGTGCACTGATGGATCACACTTATGGTACATACTTGTATACTGGGCCATAAGGCCTCTGAGACTAAACCAACAATGCGTTAAAAGTGGCTAAAAAAGTCAGAGTTGGTTATAATTCTGTGTGGGTTCACACCTACAAGTAACACATTTCATATTACAGAGCCATTTGATCAATTGTTATCACAAAATATTGATTACTGCAGCTTTAATCAAATATCCACCAAGAAATGGACACACACAGGTTACCTGGACCCCAGGTTTTGGGGCCTGTAACCCAGCCTTGCTTCTTGTCTCTAACCATAATGGTTACCGATCTGCTAACTGTGGAAGAATCATTCCACATCTATGTGTAAATTATTTTATATGAAGTATAGTTAAGTGTACTGATGTGGTTTGTAGTGACTACGATATACTGTAGTTAACATGCACCAAATTCAAATAGGAATTGTGCACCAAATGTAGCATTTGCTATGTTTTTTCTGGCCTTGCTGTTGTAAATATTTATACCAAACACATTCTAATCAGATCGGAAGTCAGATAATTGTGTTTACAAAGCTTTTCAGCCCACCCTGAAGAGTTTCACTCTGTCACTGTGGTTATTATTCCCTTCACTTTCTCCTTGATGAAAGATTCATGCTGAACCTCTGTACTGTAGGTGAGGCTGCTGTACAGTTAGGCTGAACTGCTGCTGCCATAAATCTATTATCTTCCACAATATCGTATCTGTGTACTGCTCATTACTGTATGTTCTCATCTGTCATGCTACACAACAAGCCCCGGGGAGTTGATAGAAATCTCCTGGGCTTGAAGCCCTGATTTAGATGTCATACACTTGTCATATTCTTTTTAACAATAATGCAGCTGTCTATAAAGCCCTGTGTGTAGAACATGTCTGTGATTGTAGCATCTATTGCAGACGCTTTGCTGTGAAAAGGAATGTTCAATGGGGATTCTTACTCTTCTGATGACATTCTGGCCATAAAGGTCCAATGTGTAACACTGAGGAGGATGTATTGTCAGAAATGGATGTTGGTATAGAAAATGGTATGTTTTCATTAGTCTATAAACACCCGAAAATAAGAATCTTTGTGTTTTTGTTACCTTAGAATTAGCTGTTTTTATCTACATAGGGAGCGGGTCCTCTTCTGGTGAAGTTTTCTACAGTAGCCCAGAATGGACAAACCAAACATTGGCTCTAGACAGGGCCATTAGTAAGTTTTGCAGTCACCAGAACTTCAATTATTGTATTTTCCTGCAAGTTTCACCAATCATAGCAGTCCCTCATTCAAAATATTGAGCCATACATCACCAAACTACTAGCAATTTTATTCTCGCTGGAACAAGATGGCTTTGATTTCTAATCAATTATATTCAAAACGCAACAATTTTTGCAATTTTCACTTTTCCCACAATTTCATTGCAAAAAATATTTACATTGCAACATGCATGGCAAATTTGAAGAAAAGCTGCTGTGAAATCAAGCATTTTAGACTGCAACAATCTCCTATTAAGCCTGCGAAATCCTGAAGGCACTGGCATAATCCTATACACTGGACCTTTTCGGTTAAGGAAACATTTTGGCCTGATGTTGGAGCCGTGAAAAAAGGTCAAAGGGCCCCTGGAATCTTTAGGAAACATCCGGAAGGGATCACAGCACAGTCACAGTTATAAAATCTTGCTTTCTAGAATATCTGCTCATGGCAACGATGGTAGGGTACAATTAATAAAAAAGCAAACTTTAAGAGCAAGTCAAAGAGGAGATGGTCTTCCACACAATCTAACCATAGAAAATGCCACACTACTTTCTGCATTGGCACTAAACATTGGCATTGGCTGTAAATAGACTCAAATGGACACAATTCCTAGGTATGCTAGTCAGACTAAACTGCCCTAACTAGTAAAACAACAGCACTGGTCATTTGTTTGAACACCTAAAGTGATCCCTCTGTAGCGACTATAGTGCCACAAAATGTCTTCTACCAACAATGAACATTTCTTTTTGCAGAACAACATGGCTGGCCTTAGGCCTGACAAAGAGGACCACAGTGTTAACCTGGCCATTTTATGAATATTTATATAATTTTGTCCCTTCTGCTCTTACTTAAAGCTGTAGGAGGGAATGTTAAGGAAAATAACAATCAGAGCCAAGGAAGATGCCAAAAACCGATGCTTTGGGAATGAAATCAGCAATCAGCTATCTTTAAGCCTCCAACCCAAAGCGTTTTTAGATCTTTTTGGCTCTGGTTGTTTTCGTCCGGGCCCGGTGGATTCTTAAAATGCCATTAGGAGCCCTAACAGGAGCCAGAGGAACCTGATTGTTTCACAGATTACCTGTTTCATACACTACTGTCAGGATATAGTGAAAGTTTCAGCAAATAAGACAAACTGTTATTTCTATAAAACATACCTACTGCAGCTTTAACTATCGTGCGCTGATAGTTCTGTCTTTAGAAAGTTCAGTAAGTACACAAAGCAGGAGTGAAGTAAGAGTTGGCACCACACTCGCATTTTTTAATATATATTTGTTGATGTTTCTCTCTGGTGATATATGATGATGTCAAGAAGCTACCAGGGTCTGTAATCATAGGCTTTTAAGCTTTCCACAACACAGCAGCTTTACAATAGGCTGCCGTCTTTGATGCCATGTGTCTCTGTCTCCAGACTGTCTCCCCGGGCTAGCTGTAAATTAAAAGATGCAAACTTGGCATGGCTCTCAACGGTGCTACAGGAAGTGTGCTACATGGAATGGAAAGAATGGGAAGTGAGCCGACACGTTCCAACCTGTGCTTGTTGTGGATGTTAAGTGATCGACTGTGAAGTCATATCTAGATGAAAAGTCTTTATTTGTCCTGCCAGTGAGATAAGCTGTGTTGTCACATTTATCTCTAGGCTGAGTATGTAATCTGTAATCTGTTAACTTCATCACTTAGGCCAAATTTTAAGCTTGCTAGGATTCATAGGCTTCATTCACTCAAGCCTAGAACATACTGCTGATAAAAAACCATCAATATAAAAGATTGATGTCACTTCTCCACTTCCTCCCACTGTACAAAAATGAAGCCAAAAATATTAAAAATACGTCCGCTGCCATCCTTTGCCATTTGGAGCCTGAGTGTGCACAGTAGTGATCGGGGTTAGCGCTGCAGTATCAAGGTCCAACTCAGTCGCAAGCAGGGCTCAGCTGTCAATCATGACGTGAAACCTTATTTTTATAGCTTCAAATAACTAATTACAACCAAACTTATCAGAAAAACGAACACTTAAACATTACCCTTGTATCGTGATACCTATCTTATCCAGATTCTACTGATGCATAGATGTAGGTTTGTGAGGATGTCCAATATCTAGTTCTTGAGTGTGGTACTGAAGCCCAGAGTGCCGCGTTTGCCAATAACAAATAAACAAAAATGTAACAAAGTTTGATCTGCACACTGCATCCATGGTAATGGTGCAACTACTGCAGAGATGCCGCTCAATGGACAACAGAATTAGACCGACTGGGAAACTGTGTGAATATAAAGATTGGGAATGATTGGGAAGTATTTGTAGTCAGCACACCCTGCGGGCCCTGCTGAAAGCAATCTGATACTCTTCAAAGGAGCATTAGAAGAGAAACTCTACTTATTAATGACTTAGGGCTTTCTCATGGCCCACACCAACTGCCAGCACTCAAAAGTGTTTACATCCAAACATTCAGTCCCAACACACTCTGGTGGCATATTCTCTTTCCTGTTGACAGCCAGCCAGTTCACTTACACTGCTGTCATTTTGGATAATCAGGTTTTCCCCTCCGTGGAGAGTATGGCTGACGGTGGAAGCAGATGCTGCCAGACTAGCACTGATCCCCGAGCTCACCCATGTCTATTACACTGCGATGATGGATGTCTGCTGCTCTTCCTCCTCTCCCTCCTCAACATTAGCGAGCCAGTTGGACGTGTAATGTGTTCAATTACACCCTAAAAAGAGTATTAATTTGAAAATATGTCTCTGTTTTTACCAGTGTCTTTAGAGAGGGAACAGAGGGAAACTGTGGGTGTCGTTAGCTGCAGAATGAGCTCC